GAGTCTTATCTTAAAACGAATGGTCCCCAATGAGTAAAAGAAGAATAAAAAACATCTTTCTATAATACAGAAATTCGTAATACAATTGTGTTTTTAGCTATTACCAAAATAAAATTATAAAATTATTTTTCTACAGTTGCCTGACAAAGCGGGCTTCCTTACAATGATCATACAATGCATATATGTATAATGCAAGGTATGTATGTATAATAATCTTATATATGTATGTATAAGGTAGCTAATTGACGCATTTACTTACTTTTGTCGCACTCATTTTACTTTGTCGCACTCCAAGTATGCATCGTATTTTTCATTGTGAAAGGAGTTCTATACTGCAAAAGAAGTTTGATAATATGCTTCAATCATTGCTTGTACTAAAATAAATTGAATGATGTGTAATTATATGTAATATTAGATCAGTTACGTTTGTGAGAAAGTTTTTTCATTTTAGTTACAAACCTTACAATTATTAATGAACAGAAATCGCAATTCCGTCGTTTTCGTGCAACAGCCATCTTAGGTACCATAATTATTGATTGATTGTGTTAATTTAGAACTATAACAGGTAAGGTTTTTTCCGATAATCTCAAGGATTTCATCAGATACATTGTTTACTACTAACTACTGATGAGCATCACACTTTAGTTTTATTCGTTGAAGACATATTATGCTGTTTCCTTGTGTGCTGATGTTAACATGTTTAAACTCTTATAAATATAAATATATTTTATCTTTAATTGATTAAAAACACATCAAAAGGGAAAAAATGAATCCAAAACATTGACTTAAATGTATAGTGGAATAAAAGTCAATAAAAGAGAAAGAGAAATGAGCTCAATCCAGCTTTTTAATTTAAAAAGTTGTAAAATACTGTTTTTCTCTATGTAGTGCATCCTTATTACTAAAATTAACAATAATATTGACTGTAAAAATCATAACAACGAATATTTTTTTTAACTCCATTGACTCCAAAGTCGTAAAATAACAAAAGGCGTTACACGTCAACTTTTGTATCAGCCATCATCAATCAAAGATTAGGATTTTCTTTTCAGAACTGAGGAGTGGATAATCTTGCGGAGACTGGATCAGAGGGGGAATGACACATCTCAAGGATTTGTTGTGGACGTGACAGGGGGAGGGGGGTTTGTGGGGGTATTTTGGGGGGAGTGCTGATCAAATCCCCTGGGGCCACCTCAATACTCATCGCTTCCCGAATGTTTTTATGATATTACGGTGTGTGATCTGTAAATTATTGACCACACGATTTTACGATGTATTGACTTATTATGGACAAAAGTACTGTAATAATCTACTGTGTGCACTATCATACGGGACTCGCGTAGTAATTGTTTTTTATTAGTTATATTTGGTTTACAATGACTGACGTTGTTGTGAAAGTATCCAAAAAAACATTGATATATTGCAATTAAATAAGGCAAAAAAAAAAAATTTACTAGTTATGATATTTATCTAGATTATTACGTTGTATTACTATCATAAATACGTTAATGTCAAAAATGTATCAAGCTTAAATAGAAAAGTATACATGATGTTCTATTTAAAAATGTGGTACACATGAAGAAATACGATGGAGCTTAAAACAATAACTTAAAATGTCTTATGCCTACAAATTCATATGTGTTTCACCTACTAATAAATCAGCAGTTATTATTTAGTGGCCGTTGTACATTTTCCAATTCACTGTCAATTATTAGTTATGTATTGTTTACAAATACTGATGTTGTTGTTTAAGTATCTACAAAGCATTAAAATCTTGCAATAAAATAAGGCAAAATAAAATGCATAACTAGTTATAATATTAATCCAGATCATTACTTTGTATTCCTTGCATAAATACGTTAATGTCAACATGTATATTTTATCAAACTTAAAAATGAAATCATACATGAAGTTATATTAAAAAATGTAGTACAAATGAAGAAAATTGAAAAATTAAAATTAAATTTAAGAAAATTAAAAAGAATTCATTAATTAATTGAAACTAAAGAATTGAATTGTGATGGAGCTTAAACCAATAACGTAAAATGTCTCATAATAGCCTATACATTTAGGTGTTTTTTTTTTTTTTACTAATAAATCAGCAGTTATTTATTATTGGAAATTGTACATTTTCCAATTTACTGTCAAAATACTCTGAGAAATTAAGTTATGGATCGTGATGACTTATAAAATGTTTTAAATGGTAAGACAATGTATAGTGGTATTTCTCAAGTATTTTCATAGCAAATTTAAATACTCTAAAATAAAAACCTCTGGGGAAACAGACTAACCCACCTGATAGTAAATTATTCATAAAAACAGGTTATCCATGAAACTTTCTGGCAGTCTTTCCAAATATTTTAGGCTTTAAAACTCAGCTCATGATAAAAGATATTGTTATTGCCTTGAAAGTGTATTAGATCAAGTAGTTCCCCCAACAACCATAAATCTTGGTGTTTTCGCGTTGCTCCATGGTAAAATGGCGACAGTAAAATATCATTTGTATATAAACCAGGGGTCTATGCCAAAATGAGGCAAAAATAGAGGCCTTCAATGGCTTCTTAATGTTTTTTGGTTGATAAAGTAAAAAATATTTTATGTAGAAAATTTTTTTAATAAATTAATATTATTAAAGTAATTACACTATTTAATTTTCTTGTGTTTAATTTAATTCATATTGTGTAAATGTAAGCAATATATATTTTATATTTTTTGATTTCCCAGCAAGACTTAGTAAATTAGACTTGGATAAATATTTATTTTTATTTTTGCAAGAGGTGCTCTTGTAATGTTAATTTTTATTTTTATTTTGCAAAGTTGATGTCTAATTTATTTTCTCTTCATACCATATTTCTGATTGTTAAAAAACATCGCTTAACATTAAAATATAGTACATTTTACTCTTAAGAGAACTGATTAAAAGATTAGTCAGTATTTAGTTGCTCCAAACGCAATAGAAAAGTTTATGTTGCTAGTTTTTTCTTAAATATTAAAAATGGTTGTACCGCTAACTAATACTACGCTTAATTTTTATCAATAAAAGTAATCGATTAAAATTATTTATCAAAATAGTTTTAAGTAAGAATATTTACGAAAACACCCTGCATTAGGTTTCCAATCAAATAACAACACGTTTACAATAAAACGTCTTTTATTGGTAGTAGCTTTTTATAATGGTATAGAAAATAAATATAATTTAATAATTCTTCAATATAAGTAGCAAACCACAAATAGATGCAACTATTATTACTGTATGTGACTTTTACTGTATGTAAAAAAAATTGTATTGTAGGTAAACTTGTCTAGTTGGTTTTAGCTGTATTAAAATACTGTAGGGTTTTCAATAGGAATACATTGTTTGTTCTTCGTGAATTTTCAACTTGTATGCCTAATATTTATATTACGAGGATCACAAGTTATAGAATTTATAGATGTTGGTTTATGAAAAGTACGAAATGTACCTATTTCTCAGAATCCTCCAAGGTGTGTGATTTTACACAATTAAAATTAAAATATATATTTTGTTTAGGGCTATAATTAATTTTATTTGTAAATAATATATACTTCAAAAGATTTAACTCTTTAAATACACTTTTAAACTATGAATGGCATGAAAATATTGTAACTAAATAACTAAATAATGCTAACAATGTCCCAAACAATAAAATCAAACTTGATACAAGTAATATTACAAGTTATTATTATTGTAGTATTACAATATAAAAAGTACAAAATCTTTCGCCTGTTCATGATCAGCGTTCACAATGGCTGTATAGATTATCATTTTAAATGTAGTCAAAAAATATAATAATAATAAAAATAAAATTGTGTAAAAAGTCAAAATTTACATTAAAATTTCTTGATCTAATGTGAATATGAATTAAAAGTTTTGGGCTGGTAAGAGGGGACTACTGGGGCTGTGCAGTACCAGTTAATCTTTAAATGTATTACGTACTAAGGAGTAATAAAAGTTTAAAACAATTAACAATTATTTATACTATAATAGCTCCATTTAGTATAAGCGAATTGATCAAATATAATGGGGAAACAGAAGATAACAAACGGTTTGTAAATGATAAAATGAGCTTACTTCACATAATGAGTTTCACGTTTAAGGAAAACTGTCCCAAAATCCCTGACAAAGAGGGTATAATGAACGTAGCACAACAGTGTCATGCTACCTTTATTACATTTTTGCACTTTGACTGGATTATGAGCGTGTTTCAAACATTTACACTTTAAAATTAAAGGTAATGTTTAATAGTTATGTTACATTTTAATAGTTCGCCATGAAAGTAGTTTTAGCAACAAGGAAGTCGCACAACATTTTTATTAGGTAGAGAGAAAAAAATATACAGTAATATTTAGGTATTCTGAGGAATTTGAATAGTTCAAAAGATTACTTATTGGAAAACCTATTTAATTTAATTATGAGAAATGTGAAGGATTATATTCTAGGGACTAAATATGCTCGAAATATTCAACCAAAATCACTTACGTTCGAAATAATCAAAATACTTGTGTGTATATTACAGCATTGAGTTTACGCCGTCATTAAATTTATTGCTTCATGAATGAAATCATCCCTTGGCGTCACCTTAAAATCTACATATTTGTTAATGACAAGAAGCTTTACCTTTTGGATCATGTTCATGCAATCAACCTACTTTAAAAAAATATTTAAAAATAAGTATTATCTGCTCCTGTTTCTCTGTTGAATTTCGTTTGCTATGTCACTAGCACATGCTTTAACCGAATATCTAGGCTTAGGTAATCTACTGAATTAGTTAATTGTTGTTTTATGTCCTATATTCAAGAACCGCATTAAGTTTAATCAGTATTTAGGTTCTAGATGTTAACAGGCAACCTGATCTCGGCACATTACAGCTGCAGGTCTAGATATAAGTAACCAACTTATGAACTCGATGAACATGAATAAGATGAACTAATTAGGTTAAGATAAACATCTAGTTTACAACAAGCATTGTTGTTACAGGTGCTATATTCGAGCAAGGCACAGATGAAGTTCAGACAGCCTTCAGGTTTGCGATGTTGACGCATAATCAGAACGTCACAGGCCGGAGGTTTGAGCTGCAGGCGTACGTTGACGTCATCAACACAGCTGACGCCTTCAAGCTGTCTAGACTGAGTGAGTAATATGCACAGTATATCTATGTGTGGTAGGAGTAAGCACCCTATGTGATTTCTTATATTTGGATTACCAACTATTAGAAACTTATGGGTTGTGTTTCTTTACTGCGGTAGGTTGGCAGATCGTTTTGTTCAAACACAACGTTACAAACATGAGTTTAAAATATTAGTTTGTCTATTGGGTCGATTCACACACAATATTACAGTCACAGTTCAGTCTCAGTTACATCTCCAATTCTTAAGTCAACCGTCCGTCAGTTGGTTTCAGTCAGTCTTCCGCCAGTTATTAACAATGATGTTACAGTCGATAATCTATTTTTTTTTTCACAATATTGCATCAATTTTACATCTACCATCTTGATGATTAAAACTATAACACAATTTCAATAACAAAAACACTGTCTTTCATACAACATACGACCGCCAGACGTACGAAAAGTCCTAAAATATCGGTGGCAAAAATCTAAAATTGACTGACGGACGCCGGTAGAGCGAAGAAAAATCCTTAAAAATATATTTTTTGTTTGTGACGTGACTGATGTGACTGAACTGTAACACTGTGACCCGCCGGAGCTGATTATGTGTGTAAATATACCTTCAGAAGGCAACATTTAACACACTATCTGCTAATAATGTACCTAAAATAGTGTTATATTCATTTAATGATTTCTGGAACAGCATTGTACGCTCTATTAAATAAAAATGTGTCTAATAAAACTCTTAAAACAAACATTTACAATAATACAGTCTACTCACAAGACGGTAAAAAACGTATAACAGACGGTAAGTAGTGATTGATTTCGATTGAACACCCCAATCGTCATCAGAGATCAGACCCAATAGGCCTGATCGAAATCAATCACCACATTCCATCTTTCATATGTATTTACCTTTATGTGAGTTAACAGTATGAGTGTAAATATATGTTTGAAAAGTATTATCAAACGTATTTTTATGTACTTACTGTGTCCGATCCAGCACTTTCTAGTTTTTAAGTGTGTATAAATGTTGTCAAAAGACATTAGTTTTTGTTCAAACTATAATTGAAAATATTGTGATAAAAAAGTATTCGAAAGAACAGTGAAACTCTGTTTACGTTTAGTTGTTAGATGAGTAGCAATTTCATTGAGTTTTTGTTTAGCCTACCCTCACTTAATTGTACAGTTTTCCTTTTTAAATTAAAAACATCATTAATCACACGCGTTTTCTCATTTTCAGAAGATATTTATGTCATTTTAAAACAATCCTAAAGAAATTAATAAGTAACTTTGCCACAAAATAAATGTAAATTTATAAATGTAAAAAGCAAAAGGAAAGAGGTAAAATATTGATAACATATACAATTTTTTCAGAAGATTGCTTCTATTGACTAACTCAACACTGTGATTTATACATAGCTAGTTATAAGCAAGTAGATAAATATAATAAATTTAGGTAAACGTTGTAACGAGTTATTTTTCCTAGGGGGGTAAATATTTGCTATTTGACCGCGCACCTATTGCTGGCATCAGCAAGCGGCGGCGGCGAAGCTAGTGAGCGCCCTTTGACCCGGCTTATCAGTGCCGATAAGCCTGGGATATCCTAGTTTCTCAGGACAGTCTAGGACAGGGACATTCTAGTGGTGGATCCCGGACAGTGAAGAAGGCAGTGTTGGTGTCCTGTGTAAACGGCCGGCGTACGTTGGAGGTACAGAGTGTACGTGGTGTGATCGCGCCGAGTGTTGGTGTAAGTTGGGTACAGACGGTACAGACCCACTGTTGGTGAGTGGACGACGTTCCTTACACTTTGGTTTAAGATTTGATTTAATATTAATCTTACACTTTATTGCGAGAGTTAGAGTTGTAACCGTGCTGGTCAAAACCTGACGGTAGTTAGGATTTATATTAGTCAGGAATAATATTTAAATGTATTCCTGACGGTTCTGGGCAGGTGCTAGAGCGCAAATAATATAATTTATTGACTGTAGTAGTTATTATTTTGCGTTGTACCAAGAGTTAGTTATATTACTAATAACTCTTGAGGCCCGACAAACCTATGCTGCACGATTTAGCGTGCGTAGTTGGAAGCACGTGGCCAGTAGGCTAGTAGCTAATATTATTAGCCTATTAACAGAAGCCCAGCTAAGTAATATAACGTTGATATAGTAGCAGTAGTGGTAGTAGCAGTAGGGTTGGTGTTGATTAATCATTTAATTATTTCAATTTAACTTAAACAGCTTGTTTGGTAGTCCAACACGTTATCTTAGTAGCTTGGATAGCGGAGTACCGGCTATCAGATAATATATTTATCTAGTGTTTGGAACGTATTTAATATTTATTTATCTGCTACTAAGTAGCTCAATATTTTAATAGTGCAATTGCCATTTAGTTTTGCTTGTTTGGCTTGGTATTTATTGAGACCAGCTACTAGTGGTGTAGTCACCCTACCTATAGTGTACTTGTATATTATTATGTGGTACGATTATTGAGTGAACTGTTTGATTCTTAGCTTGGGCATTAGAGTTGTGTATTGGATTGTAGTGGCCTAGTAGACCCCGCCTGGTGATAACGCGCGTTGTGGTTTTTATTGGCAAGTCGTCGTGTAACTCACCGTGTTTTAGGCACTCTGGGCTTAACTATTGGATAGTTAGGACGAAGCCCGAGTTGCGTAGTCAGCAACGACCCTCTAGGAGAGTGGAGAATCGGCGTAGGCCTGGTAGTGATTATTGCACGTTTGTTTTGGTGACTTGTTTTTGACTTGTTCACAGTGCCCGTGTATGAGCCAGTCCTATACCGGTTAGACCCGGCTTTTGGCCTAGTGGTTTCCCTGACCTTATCGCAGACCCTGGAATTTTACCCAGCCATTGTAGGCTGAGCTGTCCCGGCAAACGGTTGCGACGACTGCACTTTTAATATTTATTTTCCCAGTGCAGAAAATCTCGTCGCAACGTTTTCATTTATTTGTTATAAAGCAAACATAAATTCAACTTTCAACAACACTTTTGGCTCTTGTTCAACCACATGTACCATTTAATCCTAGTTTAAAAGTAGTTCCTTCAACGGCTAAGCATAAATTCAGGTCAAAGTTTTTATCCTCTCCGTAATCCACTTGAATAAATAAGCATAATATTAAATTAAATTCGCTCCAATTTAATCTCTATTTTTAAGCATATGGTATAAAGTTGCATTTATAGAATTTTACATAAAACTTAACCCTTATTTCTTAAAGATTTTTTTATTTAAAAGAGAATATTAATTGGTATATTACTCAACATATTTAAAGATCCCAACACCTTGGTTGTTATATTTTAACCCAAAACTTTTCTCGCCACCTCAGTGTTTTTACCTTATATTTTTACATTATCCACAGAAAGGAGATGCTTTGTCTGTAAGCTTTGTCTCCAGACTACAGTTCAGGCTCATTTTCCGAAATGACGCCACATTTCCGTCTTTGTCTTGAGGTAACCCCCTAGTTTGCAGGGCATTGAAGTTTTAGGTAGAACCTTTCTATTTTTTACGTTGTCCTATTTTTAGGAAAAATTAGGGTACCTGAGTTGATATTATATATAAAACATCGATTTTGTAAAGTTATATTATAAGTTTTTATTTAATATTAATTGGAATTTGCTTTTGGAATTACATGTTTGCTAAAGTAAAATAACTTTTGAAAGATATTTCTTTGTTTACTCGACAGTATACAACAAGCCCAAATCCTGCACATTAAATACCACATACCAAACATACCATCGGCTTAAATTTAATTCAACATTACTAAATTATCATATTTTAGCTGTCAGATTAAAGAAAAACGGATATTAATATAATTATAAAATATTATTCTGGATATAAACGACAACCTGATTTGGTAAGATTCAAGCTGCATGTCTATGTGTGGGTAATCAACCTTTAATCTCGATCACCTGAACGTAAACATGGACTAAATTAACTGAACAAGTGGAAAAAAACATTAAGTTTACAACATTAATATAGTTAAAACAATTGTTAACCATATGTTATGTTGTAACCATATTTTAACCATATGATATATATTGATATCATGATTCACGTATTCAAATATAAGGTGATGCATAGGATAGCTTAGTAACAAAAAGAAAACACATAAATAATCGTGAATGTGCTACGGATTTTCTCAGTTAATTACATAAGCAGAACGTATAATAAAACAAACAAAAAATAAATTGTGAAAATAGTTGAGAGCTATTCATATTTTCCCACTCGACTCCATTTTGAGATTCAACTCGATGCAAAACAGAAGCACCCATTTCTCCGATGGAAGCTCTAATGGAATAAGTTATGAAAGAAGCGAGGTAAATGTTTGCACCTCAAGAACTTGAAGTTTTCCCTTCCTCTAAAACATCAACTTAACTTTTCCTAGCAGAATATTGTTAATTGTTTGCTTTTCAGAAAATAGTTTTAACGATCTAGAAAGCTTCACGTTTGTTTTCATTCACAGAAAAGAGGCTTTTTTTATGTTTATTTTGTATGTTTTTTTTTATTTTTGACTTTTTATTTGTAATATTCCCTCAAGGTCGCTTTTGTTATCTTTATTTTTTTTTTGCATTACAATGCCAGTTAAAAGTAAACTTCAAATTAGTGGGACATGGACAAAACGACAAATTTAATAGGCCTATGTAGTTTTTTGTGTTTTAGGTTTGTTTATAACACGTGTTAAGCTGCAATTTGTTAAAATGTAACGTCACTAACACGGAAAAATAGATTAAGGGTTTCAATTTGGCACATAAAAATGACTCGAAAGTTGAAACAAAAATTAACCACTTTTTTAATTTATAAGCTTTAGGCCTAACGTTTCTTCTTCGGGTTGTGTCCTTTTCTATTATTGAATGTTTTATACAAAATATTATTTAATAATTAATAAACTTGAATATAGTTTAATCGTTACAATTTAATTACAAACGTGTTAGGAATACCACGCTACTCTTACTTGAAAACATTGAAAAGTGCGAATAAATATTTTTTTCCCCTATTTGATTGTCAAAAT